TTGATTTGTTCTTCGTTCTTGAGCTTGAACTTGATTGCTTGAAGCTTGAAGCTTGAAACTTGTGGAGGAATTTGCAGCGTTTGATCCACTAGCTCTTCTTGCTTCTTGTTATAACTTCTGGTGTGAGCTCTTTCTTGCTTCTTGTTATAACTTCTGGTGTCTTTTCTGGGTTATGAAGACCCATATTTATAGTTGTGGGAGGGAAGAGTTATGATAAGAACAAACTCTTTCCGACCAATCAAATCGAAGTGTGACAAGGCCGCATTTGATTGGCCAGAACATGTCACTTGCACACGTGGTGCGATTTCATTAGCCTTTTAATGTGACTTGGCATGCCTTGTCATTTGACATGTGGCATGATTCTATTGGCTCTTCCGCTTGACTTGGCGTGCCACGTCATATGACACCAAACCAGACCTCTAAGAAGATGACATATTGGTCCTAATGAAGTGGGCTCGTTATTTGTAGCTTAACTAAATGGGCTAGCCAGTCAATATTCATTGGACTTAAGTAAGCAATCCAATTATATTAGCTCATGATATTTATTTGGACCAAAATATATTTAATTGAGATTAAATCCAAATTTCTTATGGATTTAAAATCAGTAAAAATTTAATTGTCTATACTGCCAATATAGTATAAATACAAAAAGAAGAAGAAACTAAGTACAAGTAGGTGGATTAGTTTAGAAGGCTAACACAATTGAACGTCAAATGTGATAGGTCAGAAAATATCAAAAAATAAATCTATACTAGGACTTTCCCATAAGTCCTGGACTCGTGGTTTAATTTCAGTATCGCCATCACTACGCGGTAGACAACATAAATTATTAGTGAGACACGTACAGTTCTTTTTTATTTATATTTATATTTATATTTATGGTAACATACATAATTAATACAGTAAATGATTTGTTTTGGGTAAAGATATAAAGGTGTACACGTAGAAGAATACACGGGTGCGACGAAAACAAAAGCCGATAAACATTCTCTCAAGTTTCATCACTACAAATCCTATCAAAGAAATGGCATTGAATCCTAAATTATTTCCTCATGGGATGCCAATGCCATTCCTTAACGAATTGTTTGTCTTCGCCAGCGATGTCGTTGACTTTGAGATCGATAACATTCCTCGGTATAAATTCATCATCTCTCTGTGTTTTCCACTATGTATTTTTCTTCCTTAATTTTAATTTTAATTATTTTCATCTAAGTTAATGCTGATTTAATTAAAAGTTAATGATGCCTGAGTTGACATGATTATTTTGATTTTGCAGTTTAGGACAAGTACAAGCAAAAGGAACCATCTACTTGTCCAATATCCGGATGGTCTTTGTTGCAAACAACCCTAGAGATAACTTCATTGCTTTTGATATTCCCTTGGTATGTAGTCATCATCATTCTACCTTCTAATTCCCTGATTATGTAGGAATTATATGCTTTTTGATTCCTGTGCGAAATAGGTTGTCCACAGTGCACTTCCCTATCTTAGGTGACGGTTGTAGGCACTAAGGTGTGTGCCTTATTGTCCATAGGCTCTGTCATGAAGAGGCAACACTTAATGCATGCTTCATCTAATTGTAATTTTTTCAATTCTTTTGTCTATATAATTGTTGTTTGCAGAGGCGGAGCCAGGATTTGAAGTTAATGGGTTCGAGAATCTAATATGTTTTAAGTTACTGGGTTCTAAATTAATAAATTATACATATTCTATAAATTTCTTAAGACAAATACATGGTATGGACCCGTAGGTCGTGTTCTAGCGCCCCTGGTTGTTTGGTTTTGCTGCATATATTTACATTTTTTCATCTTTCCCTTCAATTGTTTTTCTTCATAGTTTGCGCTTAAAGCCCCAATAAGCTTCAGCATTTTATTTTATTTTTGACTTTTCAAATTTGATAACATTGGACTTGGATGACTACCTTGACATACTGTGAAATTTTTCATACCATTTGGTTTGGATCAATCTTTTCTTAGTCGAGTTGTGCTTCAACACTTGCTTATATCAACGTTCTTGTTGCTGTCATAACGATGTGCCTGTGTCATACTGTGTAGATTTTACTGTATCTTTGTGACTTGATTAAGAGGTTGATTCGACATTTAGTTAGAGTCAGTAGGTACCGAGAAGGTGGAGTTTTATGCATACAAACACAAATAGACACACATATATATACATATGCATGTGTAGACTAAGATCTTCCCAATTATATTGATACAAATTCGTGGCTTATTTTGATGAGCGGAGATAGGCAACAAAACTTAGAACCGATAACTGCTTCTGCTGACCAAATTGACTTCATTCTGCAGCTATTTGTTCACGGTGAAAAATTTAACCAACCAATATTCTTCTGCAAAAACATTTCTGGATATGTAAATCCGGTAAGTAGAATAGATAGATTTATTTATCCATGGACAATGAACGCTACTTCAGATGACTGATTCTAGTCTATTTCAGGTTGTACAAGCGGCTAATGGAAACACGACCCTTCCTCATTCGTTTAAGATTTTGTTCAATGAAGGTGGTTATGAGACTTTCATCCCATTAGTTTTTAAATTAATTGGAAAAGTGAGACGACGCTATCGACGTTCAAGGGCAAAGCCTCGTGTAGATCCTCATGAAACAGCACAAACACCAGTTGATGAGATGACTAGACATGCGTATGTCACATTGCTTGCTCTTTGTACTGTGAAATTATATGAAATCATCTTTTATTGAAAGTGTAAATAGAAATATTTCATACAATTCTTATTTTGGTTAATTTTGCAGTTATGTCGACCCGAACGATCCTACATTTATCTACTTGCAGCAGCCTAAGCCAGAGTCTAAATTCAGGCATTGTTCATACCAGTCACAGTCTGCTGAAACGTCTATATAGCTTTTGCTGCAGGTTAACTGGATAAATGCCAAATTTTGTGCAAGATGCGTCTTTTCGTTGATGCCTTCGGATCTCTCCATAAAGAGAAGCATAGTGAGTTATTTTTGTATATATATGTTAGTTATACTCCCTCAAGTTCTTAATGAATATATACATACATATATGCTGGATTGTTTGGCAGCTATTTAAACCCTGTTGTTTTGGTTTGCTTCTTGCGCGAGAGAGAGATAGAGATTGACTAGAGCATGTGTGATGTATATAAATCTTTTAAATTGTGAAGATATGAAAATAATTCAGATATCATTGAGTTGACATATGAGATACTTTGAAGTGATTATGGTAGGAACTAAAATTCTGCAAAGAATATCGGTGTTTTTCGGTGTTGGCAAAGATGTAGCTTCACTCTTAAATGGATCAGCAGAGGTCCTTTCTCCTGTGAATATATGAACTAAACATTATAATTTGACTTCCTCTTTGACAAAATGAAATGTAATCTAATAATTGTCCCGCCCTTAGCGTGAGTATATGATATGATGAACAGGGGGGAAAAGGATGTTGTACATGGTCACAGACACTAGGATTGTAGGTTAATATTTCATACAAAAACTATCTCAAGAAGTCATATATATGAGAAGATGAAGAGGCAACAAAAGAGTAGTAATTACAGTAGTTTATGTTGAAAATGCTGCAGCCAGGCAAAGAACAGTACATAATAATTTCACATCTTAGAATAAAGCACTCCTTCAAGGTACTATACATATAACAGACTTATTATTCAAATAAAAGAGGGGTTTCCTCCAATTGATCTCCTTTCATCTGATCAATATTTATCTATGTTGCGCGGACTCTCCAAAATGTAGCTGCATCCGTGTCAGATCCTTCAAAAATGCACTACTTTTGGAGGATCCGACATGTATCCGGCCACATTTTCGGAGAGTCCGGGCATCATAGATATTTATCATTTATATGCAGCACATTTCTGAACTGCAACCTCTGCAGTAGCATTGAAAAGTACCACAATTATAGCAAGAACAACTAGTCTGTAGCCTTGGGTGCATGCCCATTCCTGTCAGCAAATTGCTTAGCTTCTCTATTTCATGCACATCACCAACTCCTTTAGCCGTAGAAGTATCATCAGCTAAAGGGTTAATGTCAGCATTTGCTTCTCTAACATGAACGTAAAGTGCCAAAATCATCAACAAGATCACTGCTACCTTTTTTGCCATAGTATTAAGTTCACAAGTGTATGTGCAATGAAAACTCCCTGTATGTCAATGCTTAGAGTATTTATTTATATATTTATAAAACGATCTAAACCTAAGGTTTGGCCGAATTTGTTTAAAAGAGAGATGCCCTGGTTCGCCTCGACTGGCGAATGGCTCAAGAAATACTAAGCATGAGAAAGTTATACATATATAGAAATCTGCGTTATATGTTGTCGGCCGAATGGTTCCTTATGTGTCCAATGATACCATTTAATTTTGCAATTAGATAAACACAACACAAGCAAGTCATTTTATGTGTCATTTATAGACCCCTCCGTTGACCAATCATGGCATCATAATTAAATTAATTTTTCAAGGTGTATGTATATATGTGTGCATATGTATATACTAATATACACTAATTGAACTATAAGTAGGTAATAGTCACCGGATTATATCTTATATATAATATTTTAGCAGCTCGTGAGTAGTCCAATATTGAAGAATGTGCAAATACATTTGTGAAATTTGAGAAAGTTACCTAGAAAGATTCTTTGCCCTCTCAGTATAGCTAAATAAAGACAAAAACCAACAAAAGGTCTTTGTCTTATATGCTACTCCCTCCAGTCCAAAATAAGTGATTTTTTAATCTTTTTTTTGTGGTCCAAAATAAGTGATTTTTTCAGATTTCAATAATGAATTAATTATTTTTTTCTTACATTGCCCTTGGAGTAAATAGTGTTGGAGTATGTGTTAAGAGTGTTTATGTGAGATAGTAAAGGTTAATATGATCAATTTCATTGTTAATTAATGTTAAAAAGTAAATTTCTTAAACTGAGTGAAAACATCCAAAAAAATCACTTATTTTAAATCGGAGGGAGTATATAAGTACTTTATAACGAGGGTACTTTTGGGGGATCAAAACGAAAATTCTCTCGGAAAAAGAACTCGATGGTAAATCGTAATAATATAATATTGAGTAGCAGGCTTCAATCTATGATTTACATATACAAGATAAGTTCGAATATTCAATAAATATTTGTCTACTTATTGATTATCAAAAGCAAACCCCCAGCCTAAGATTTGATGGTTTCCGCCCTCAGTTCAGAGAATAGAGCTGCTGCATCGGACATCAAGCAATTTCTAGTCCAAACCCTGGACAATATTCTCGCTTGAAAAGCAATAGTTCTTCTTCCAATTTCGTACATCGAATTGTGTATGTAAAGAAGAGTTTGTCTTTTTTCAAAGAGATAAAGTCACGCAACCTTTCGAGATAGAGTCTTCAGTCATCGTTAGAATTTTAGGACAAGATGATTATTTTAATAATTAAACGTATTTCAAAGTGGTTGCAATTGAAAGTTTTTGTGTGGTAGAAAAACTGGTTAACTCACCATATAAACTCATGATCTGAAGATTACAGATTGGAACCTTATCCTCGGTTATCAGTGTAACATTGTTCATGGCGATAGAAGGAAGGTCCTAACCAATCAACAAAACGTGACTAGTGTTCAGTCTAAAGTTTGATTATACCTTTCTGTAGGGAGATGACACCATTAGTTGTGGAGAACATATGACACTTCTTAGACTATTGAAATCCAACCTAATTAGAGCTCCTTGTGCTCTAAAATATCATCTGTCTGCTTGGAGCTATTCACAATCAAAGGCAATCATTTACTGTGATAAGATCAGCATGTCTTATATAAGTATTTGACTTTCAAAGCACCTGAACTACCCACAGTCAACAATTTGGGGATTTGCACTCAATAATCATAATTCGTATTTTTAATTTTTATTATTTGCTTATTTAGTGTGTAACTCAATAATCAATTAATTCGTTTTTTCAATTTCTATTTATATTAAGCTAAGCACTAAAGATCTTGTAACTCCTCCAAAACCAAGCGTTATTGGTTCAATGGATGGAACTTCCAAGGACTTTTTAGAACATAACTTTGAGCTGGAACGATAATTGCAATTAGGTCTTTCAAGAGTTTTGTCNGATGTTCTACTCCTAAACTCAATGGACAATTTGGGTTAAAAACTTCATTTTTGCCGTTAGGAAAAGTAGCTTCTCTACATCCATAAACAAATAAGGTATTCCTCCTGTGATAACCAAGCGCCCAAAGAACTACAGCAACCATTAGCAGATGTCGGTTAAAAATGAACTTTATTTAACTAAAATATCAGTTAGTTGTTTTAACCAATATATCAGTTAAATACAACTACATTGTTGTGTGTTTCCTTCTATAATAATCTTCAATAATGCGCAGATCATAAGAAAACCAACATAAGCAGAATATTTCTTTATACAATACAAGCTCTTCCACCAAGTCATAAGTCCAGCCTCCCATACGAAATCTATTTAACCAAAATATACTGCAATAGCTGCTTCACCAATTTGCCAGGAAAATGTACAGGCTTGTGTTTTACGCGATGCTCGACCTTAGGAGCTGTTCTCCTCTTTTACCTCGGTAATCTCTAAAATTGCTTTTTGTGCAGCTCTTCTTCTGTTTTGAATCTGGCTAACATATTCTGCAACTATAACATGAAACTTGGGGGCCAGTTTACTTGTGTTAGAGACATTAAGTCCTGCCTTCTTCAAAGCCCGCGTCACATGCTTTTCAGCCTTCTGAAAATGAAGAGAGCAGTAGGAAGGAACTGTTGACCTCAATATTGGCTTCCCACAAAGTATGGGCCCCGTCGGCGAACTGCAAAATGAAGCAACAACGCATCATAAATAAGTACTGGATGCCAAAACTAAACCATGCAAACAATTAACATTACACCTAAAGACTATACAAGCAAAGAGGACCATGTCACAGGCTGTTGTCCTATTCCACTCCATGACTCACAACACAAGATGTTCCGTATCATACCTCGGGCCATGTCTCAGGGTGCAAGCAACCGCAACACCAAAGCATCGCATGGTCCTAAAGTGCCCAGGAGCCCATTGGTAATGGCACCAATGCCCTGCCGGCAGACCAACTGACTAGCCAGCACACACCACCAATTAGAGCAAGCTGTGAGCAAATATATTATGCCGGCCACGAATAGCAACAAACTAGCACACGCGTGTCACCTCGAGGCAAGCAACCCGAACAGGCTGCTCGCCTAGACTGCTCTAGATCTTGAAGGAGTCTGCAGGTATAGGCATAGGCCTACCTCTAGCTTTTTTTATATACTATTGCTTGTACAATATGAAGGGGAGCCTTGGCGTAACCAGTAAAGTTGCTGTCATGTGACCTCGTGGATTTGAGCCGTGGAAACAACCTCTGCAAAAATGCAGGGTAATGCTGCGTACAATAGACCCTTGTGGTCCGGCCCTTCTCCGGACCCCGTGCATAGTGGGAGCTTACTGCACCGGGCTGCACTTTATTTCTTTTTTTGAGAAGGTAACATATTTATATATTAATAAAAAGACTTCACTAAAAAAGTGAAGTCACCCATATTTACAAAGAAAGTGCCCATAAAACCTTAGTCATCTCACAAGGAATCTAGAACATCAAAAATGGATTCATGATCCTCCATAAACTTTCCTTTACACCAAAAATAAAAAAGAGCCAAACATTTCATATTTATCTTCTGGATGTTACTGGACTTGTCTTCAAAACATCTTTGGTTTCTCTCTTCCCAGATTGTCCACCATATGCATGCTGGAACTATTCTCCATCTCTCTTTATAGCTAAAAATGTTGCCTCTTTATTCCAGCTAGTTAGAACATCATTAATTCTTCCCGGCATTGCCCATGAAATTTCCATTAATCTGATGAAGATTCTCCATAGTTGTACAGTGAGTTTGCAGTGCAAAAAAAGATGGCTAATTGTCTCTGCCTCCTCTCCACATAAGTAATATCTAGAACACAGGTGGAATCCTCTTTTGATTAAGTTGTCCTGTGTTAGTACTGCCTCTTTTGCTAGTATCCATGTAAAGCAAGCAACCATGTATGAAATTTTTACTTTCCATATCATCTTCCATGGCCAACAACCAACCTGGTTGTTAGACAAGTTGAATTCCTTGTAAGCAGACCCAACAGAAAGCCTCCCCTGCCTATTCCTTTGCCATACGATAAAATCTTGATTAGAGTTGGTACCACTGAATCGCTCCAAAGTATT